GTGTCCGACTTTTCGTGAACCCATGGACCAGAGCATGCCAGGCCCTCCTGTCTTTCACTGTCTCCCGGAGTTTGGTAAAATTCATGTTGGTAGCTTCAATGACACTGTTCAGCCATCTCGTCCTCTGTCGTCCCCTTCTCCTCTTGCCTTCACATTTTCCTAACATCAGGGAGATTTCTCTTCTCATGAGATGGCCAAGTACTGGAGCCTCACCTTCAGGATCTGTCCTTCCAGTGAGCACTCAGGGTTGGTTTCCTTCAGAATGGATTCCTTGCAGTCCAGACTCAAGACTCTACTCCAGCATCATAATTCAAATGCATCAATTCTTCAGCGGTGAGCCTTCTTTATGGTCCAGTTGTCACTTCCATACATCACTACTGGAAAAACATAGCTGTCTAGGTTTGTCATCTCTTTCCTCCCAAGAAGCAGGTGTCTTTTAATTTCATGGCTGCTGTCACCATCTGCAGTGATCATGGAGCCCAGGAAAGTAAAATTTGTCACTACCTCCATATCTTCCCCTTCTATTTGCCAGGAGTTGATGGGACCAGTGGCCATGATCTTAGTTTTTTTTTTTTTGGATGTTGAGCTTCAGACCATTTTTGTACTCTCCTCTTTCACCTTAATTAAGAGGTTCTTTAATTCCTCCTCACTTTCTGCCACCAGAGTGGTATCATCTGCATGTTGGAGGTTGTTGATATTTATTCCTGCACTCTTAATTCCATTTTGGGATTCCTCCAGTCCAGCTTTTCACATGATGTCTTCTGCATATAAGCAGGGGGACAATATACAGCCTCGTCCTCCTTTCCCAATTTTGAGTTCTTCAGTTGTTCCATATCCAGTTCTAACTGTTGCTTCCTGTCCAACATAAAGATTTCTCAGGACATATATCTTCCTGTCCAACATATAGATTTCTCAGGACATATATGTGGTCAGGCACTCTCATTTCTTTAAGGACTTACCATAGTTTGCTGTGGTCCACACAGTCAAAGGCTTCCGCATAGTCAATGAAGCAAAAGCAGATGTTTTTCTGGAACTCTCTGGCTTTCTCCATAATCCAGCACATGTTAACAATTTGGTCTCTAGTTCCTCTGCCCCTTCGAAATCCAGCTTGTACTTCTAGGAGTTCTGGGTCCACATACTGCTGAAGCCTACCTTGTAGGATTTTGAGCATAACCTTGCTAGCGTGTGAAATGAGTGCAATGGTACAGTAGTTGGAGCATTATTTGGCACTGCCCTTCTTTAGGACTGGGATGTAGACTGATCTTCTCCAATCCTCTGGCCACTGCTGCGTTTTCCAAACTTACTGGCTTTCAGGGTAAGTGAGATATTCCATTAATTACTGGCTTTCAGGGTAAGTGAGATATTACATTAATGGTTTTAATAGTTCTGCTTCCCCAGTAAGTTTCCATAGCCAAGTGGGGATGCGAACTCTGTTTTTCAGAGTCCTAGTCTATCACTCTATACACTACACCACACTTTGTAATCCAAAGGCTGATCAGAACAGAACATTCATATAAGCAAGCTTTTTGAATTTTCAGAGAGAGAGAGAGAGATGTTGTTTTAATAAAGGCATCAAACTGATACAAGTTTTGCAATTTTTTTCAGACACATGGTTGCAAGTTTTAATAACAATGTAACTTTCCTTGACTTTACATGAGTGTATTTTTAATATTGTTATATGGTCAACCATGTTTTAATACTGCCATTTCATTGTGATGTGACTTCCATATGTTTCTTAATCAGTTGTAAACTGTCTTGGATCCCTCTACTGGCAGAAAGGCAGGGTGTGGGATAGAACACAAATAATATCAATAATTTTCATTAAAAGTTGGATAAAAAGAGCAAAACAACCAGTCTTGTCAATCTATATTGGGGAAATCCATGTTGGTCCTCTTAAGTTAAGTACAGGTGCCTAACAGTAGTTGACTTGGGTTGGGGGGAAAATTCCCAGAATGTTATAGCTAGCATGACCACTGGTTAACTAAGTAATATAACTTTTAAAGCTACGTATACTGTCCAGTCCTGTTTACACAGAAGTAAATATGACCATGTTTAGTGGGTATTACTCAACGATATGTGTGTTTTACATTGCAGCAATCTTCATTAAACATTATTACCTGGGACTTTTGCTGTAGTGGTAACAATGTCTGTGAAAATAATAATGACTTAAATAATAGTATCTGGAGTCTTGCATTATATTTCTTTACTTTGGATGAAATACATGCTTCAAGAATACCCCAGTTTTCACTCTGTAGATGTAGGTATAGCTGGCTTGGTAGTTCAGTTCAGTTCTCCAGTCTGCATCCCAAAAGAATCAGCCTGTGTAGTCTTGAGCAAGCTGCCCAGTCCCAGGATGCCCTTGGAAGAAGGGAATGATCAACTACTTGTGAGTGCTCTCTACTTAGTAAACGGATGAAATACATGCTTCAAGAATACCCCAGTTTTCACTCTGTAGATGTAGGTATAGCTGGCTTGGTAGTTCAGTTCAGTTCTCCAGTCTGCATCCCAAAAGAATCAGCCTGTGTAGTCTTGAGCAAGCTGCGCAGTCCCAGGATGCCCTTGGAAGAAGGGAATGATCAACTACTTGTGAGTGCTCTCTACCTAGAAAACCCTGAAAAGGATTGCTTTAAATCAGAATTGACTTGATGGTGCACATGCACACACAAGCACACACACAAAGATACAGTTATGAAGATTTACTCACAAATAGTCTCCTTGGTTTAAAGAGTCTTACATGCTCCTTCTGAGATTTGTCTCTTCAACCTGATTTGCAACTCTATGTGAATAAAACTTCTACCTGTAATATAGTGGCAGCCATATTTTGATCTTGCTTTCGGGTCCTATATTGTGGACATAGACCTGGATTGGAAGGACCTGGATTGAGATTGCTGAACATAGTCTTACAGGAAATCACTCCTTAAAGTGATTTAATGGAATTGGGTTCACAGGGTCAATGCACTGACTAGAGCAGAGGTGTCAAATTCAATTTCATCTTGGGCCGTATGGGCATTATGGTTGCCCTCAAAGGGCCAGTTTTATCTGTAAGACTATATAAATGTATCTTTATCATATTAAATATAATCCTCCTCATTCAATTATTACTGTTTTTAGTAATAACATAAGTAATAACTAGCTCTGAAAGTAACAGTCTATAATCAAAGTCTAGAAATAATGGCAAGCAGATAAGAAGTGGCCAATAGCCAGGACTACATTTCCCAAGGTGCTGCATGCCACACAAGTGGCTGCACTTTCTGACTCTTCGCTGCTTGGAATGCTGGGATTAGAAGTTCCACTGGGCATCCTTGCAGAGCATTTTGGGTGACCGAGTAAGTATCTGCATATTGTACACTGCACAGTAGCAGGCAACACTCTGAGGGCCACATGAAACTGCGAGTGGGACAGATGTGGCCTGCTGGCCTTGAGTTTGACACAAGTGAACTAGGGCACTCATTCATTCATTTGCTGCCTTTGTCTACCTAGGATTTTTTACTAGAACAGTTGGTGACATCACTGGGCACATCCACCCACACCCTCATGCTATCCTTCTCTGAACTTTACTGTTATCTTCACAACAGCTGGAGCAGAAATTTATTGTTGTGATCTGGCTGGATAGCTCAGTGGCTTAGACATTTGGCTACAGTGACAGAGGTTGGAAGATAAATTCCTCACTGTGCATCCCAGAAGATCCAGCCTGTATAGTTTTCGGCATGCTACACAGTCCCAGGATGCCCCCAGAAGAAGGGAATGGTAAACTACTTCTGAGTTCTCTCTAGTTAGAAAACCCTAGGAAAAAAAACTCCACATTTAAGTATTTAAATTAATATAGTTTTGTGAACTCTTTCTGTTTGGCCTTGAATGAATGGTTATTTCCTTTATAAGACCTGTTCTAAGGATGAATACTGCTAGAATTGTTGTGTGTGTAATGTGGCTGCTTGCATTTTTGGATGCTCTTTGGTCTGGCTATGGTGACTATCATGATGAGCACCTACCCTTCAAAGTTTATCACTACATTACTGTAAAAAAAAAATCACTATTTGTTATTTTACCAATTTGTGTGACAACAGTGAAGCCTTTTCCTGGATGATAAAATTTCAGGCAATAGTGGGGAAGAGTGATTCTTGGCAAAGGGAAGCCAGAGGAGGTAACTGAATTCTTACCTTTTAGACAGCTCAGTGGTTTAGGAATCTGATTATTCAATATGACATAGCTACTCTCTGAAGAAATCAAGTACTGTATTGCAATCCTACAGTGTAGTCTAGAACATACTGAATTTCCTGCTTTTCGCAGGAAAATGGGATTCTGAAATTGATTGCCACTGCCGCTTTCTACAGCGAGGATGCACAATAATACCCAAGGCCTGTGGTTGTGTAGGCACATGCACAAGTGCACACACAGATACAGAAAGCTCACATCCCCAGACACATTTTTATTTTGGGAGGGGAGGGGTAACCCTGCGTAGACAGGTCCAAGGGCACAAAACAAGTCTTGAAGACCTACAGTAAATCACTCAGGAATTTACTACTTGATCCCAATCTACCTTCTGGTGTAATTTACAATCGCCCATGCAGTGCAGTTCTGTCTTAATTAATTCACAAGTAGGCCTAGAATGACAGCGACAGTAAGCCTATTACAGCGTGGACGTATGCATGCTCACTCGGGAGGAATGCCTTTACAATCTAACCCCTTAAAATGCCGCAAGGAAAGCTAGTTTTTCCTCAGTAGAACCACGAGCGGAATTGGAACACGAGTTTCCACAGCGGCGTAGAAAAGGCTTTGTCTCTCAGTGACGCTCGTGTCGGCAAAGCAGGCGGGGGGGAGGCGGGGGCGGTTCTCTACATGCACTTCCTACGGAGCAGCATTTTTAACGTGTGAAAACGCCGGCCCAGGCCTTGGGCCTTGACAACCCCAGGGAGGAAGGCGGTGCTCCGCCCGGCCTTCCGCGGGAGCCTCCGCCCCTTCTCGCGAGCGGCAGTTGGCAATTGTCGCGAGTTCTGCCTTCGTTTTCGGTGCTGCGTCGCTGGCGGGAAGACATGGAGGAGGCCGGAGCCTGACGGAGAGGGAAGGGGAGGTTGATTAAGCGCCAGCTGCCCGCCATGGCGGCGGAAGACTCGGAGCTGGAGAGGTGAGAGAGAGAGAGAGGAAGGCCCGCCACAGGCCGGAGGGCGCGCCAAGGTGATGGCGGGAGGCCGGCTGAGGAGAGGAGGCAAAAGGGTGTTGGGAGGCTTTTTAGGCCCTTTTAACACACACCCCGAGAGGTGTATTAAAGGCGGAGGGTGTTCTCCGACACAAGTCAGGTTGCCTTCAGTCAACCGGCTTTGGCCCACACGGTGACTGAGGTCACAAAAAACAACATTTTCAACGACTTCAGAGCGAATTATATAAGGGGAGACAGCACGCTACATAATATATCGCTACGCTGGGATGATTTCCTTTGATAGGGCAGCCCTATATGTCCCTATTAGGGCGTCAGGTCCATTGGGTGGAGCGAGGTTTTCACTCCTTTGAGTAAATACTGTAGTTGTACAGTATATGGAATTGCGACAGAAAGCGAACTTGCAGGCCTTGCAACGCCTGGTCTGTTATGGTGGAGCAGTGTTGTCTGATCCTCACGTTTACGGTCTCGCCTTTTATGCCCTTCCCACCACCCGTCCTGTTAGGAGCCTGGGGTAAGTCGGGGTGGAGATAATGGGGTCTTGTTGGTTGTTCTTTTAAATTGTTCGTTCTGTTCATAAGGCCCAAAGGGAGACATTTAGAAAGACGCCAAGTATTGCTATGTTTAAAGTCACTTTTCTGCAAAATAAAGATCCAGTATGAGGTGTGTGCATATTGGCAAGGAGGTAAATCTGTCACATTTCTGTTTAATGTGTCTGGATGCGGTGGTGGTTTTGGCTGCCAGTTGCCACTAAGTTCATAAGTTACTATATTATAACTCACCCAATGTCAGCATCCATTTTTTTCCTGCCCTGCCCTACTGGATCTTTTGCAAATTGATTCGTTTATGTGGAAAACTGACAGTTGTCATTGTCATTATCATCTTAGAACTGCAAAGCTGGAAGAGCGCTTATGGATCATCAAGTCCAGTCCCTGTCAAGGAGGCGCAGTGGGGAATCGAACTCCCAGCCTCTGGCTCTGCAGCCAGATACCTAAACCACCGAGCTATCCAGCAGTTCTTAATACATCTGGAAACAATGTTTTTGAATTTGATTGCAGGATTAACTTAATGGATTTGTTTTAAGAAAGGCTAATTTAATTTTAAAATCATAGATTTTTATCCATTGAAATGAGAAAAAGGTTTCACATAAAGAAGGACAGAGAAGAGAGTGAGTCAACAGAGTCTAGTTAGTAACTTGGCCGGTATCTTAAAGGATCTCAGGCAGACCTAGAAACAAGAGAATGTGGCCCTTGGTATAAAGGGCTCGGGACAGTGCAAGGCAGCCAGAAAGTGTAGAGGCTTTAGAGGAATCTCCAAGAGACAAGGTTGCGGAATACTGTATACTGCAAAACAGGCCAAGAGGTGAAAAGGAGGAATTGAGGAGATAGCAGGGGAAGTATGGAATGAGAATAAATATTAAATAGACAATGCTGTTTTGAAGTACTAAGTGCTCTTTGTGAGTCTGTCTCTAATGTATATTAGACTATAAATAGATTAATCTTAGAAGCTGGGAAGCTAGAGGTTGAGAAAGGGAGAGGCTGTATTTCATATGGATTTCATGAAATCAGTTGATTCCTTTAATTTTGGGTTTTTATTGTTATATGCCATCTGGTCATTTCTGACTTACAGTAATGCTGTGAATTAAATACCTTGAAAAGTTCCTATTATTAACAATCCTGCTCAGGTCTTGCAAACTAAAGATTGTGGTTTTCTTTTTTGGGTCAATCAATATCATGTTAGGTTTTCTTCCTCTCCTACTTTCTTTCACGTTTTGTAGTATTATTGTTTATTCCATTGAGTCTTCTCTTTTCATGATACATCCAAAGTACAGTAGGCTCAGTTTAGCCATTTTAGCTTCTAGAGAGAGCTCAGGCTTGATTTGACCTAGAATCAACTTGTTTTTCTAGGAGTCCATGATATCAGTAAAGATCTGCTCCAACACCACATTTTGAATGAATCAGCTCTTTTTCCTGCCAGCCTTTTTCATTGTCCGGCTTACATATCCATACGTAGTAATATGGATGATCTTGACCTTGGTTTCCAGTGACATATTCTTACATTTAAGAATCTTATCTAGCTTCTTCTGTCCACGTCTCAGTTTTGTTATGATTTCTTAACTGTATATCCATTCTGATTGATAATTGCCCTGAGGAATAGAAAATTATTAACAACTTTTTTTTTCATTATCAGATTGAAGTCATATAACTTGGTAAAGTTGTATAATTCTTCTGTAGTAATTGTTTTGTCTCTAATGGTCAACAGTAATCCTTGTTTTTCATTTTCTTCTTTCACTTTGAGCAGCAGTCTGCTGTTTTATGTCAGTCATATGAAGCCAGCTGCATATTTTAAATTACTGGTGTTTCTTCTACCAATTTTCATTATTTTATCTGAATATAATTTATTTATTGTACAATATGCTTTGCATATAGAATGGATACACAGCAAAACACATATAGATAGATATGGAGGCAGTGACAGATTTTGCTTTCTTGGGCGCCATGATCACTGCAGATGGTGACAGCAGCCACAAAACTGAAAGACTCCTTCTTATTCTGAAACTTGCTATGGTGCAATAGTAATTATATATTTGCTATATGTTGTGCAATTCCTCTTCATTTTCTGGATCCAACTTTAATATCTGATATTTCTCACTACAGTGGTCCCCCCTTAACGACGTTAATTCGTTCCAGCGAAATCGCTGTAGAATGAAAACGTTGTAAAGCGAAAATAAAAAACCCATTGAAATGCATTAAAACCCGGCTAATGTGTTCCAGTGGGCTAAAAACTCACTGTCCAGCGAAGATCCTCCATACGGCGGCCATTTTCGGTGCCTGTATAGCAAGGAATCCATCCCTAAGCACAGCAGGGAGCCATTTTTGAGCACCCAGCGGCCATTTTGAAAACCCGACAGTCAGCTGTTTTGATCTTCACAATGCGAAGAATCAGTTACTGAAACAGGGAACCGATCATCGCGCAGCGAAATTCCCCCATTTAAAACATCGTTTTGCGAACGCAAAAACATTGTCGTGAAGCGGATTCGTCATAATTTATTTATTTATTCATTCATTCAGTTTATATTTATTCATTCAATTTATATGAATGAATAATGCGGGGTGATCGTTAAGTGGGGCACAACTGTATATGCATGGTAGAAGTCTTTGTTGTTGTTGTTTTGTAAAATCTGTTTTTGGAAAATCACTTTGCTTACATGGAGATCAATGGAAAGGTCCTATAATCACTACAGTCTTTCAATATACGTTCCCTTCCCTGTCTTTGGGATACTCAACATTTCCAGTATGGGGGCCAGTTTTTCCTATGTTTATTGCCCTATTCTTGTTATGCTTATGATAGATTTGTTCTTCATAGCTTTAGCTGCCCGTACTGGTATCCCATTTGTTGCTGGTGGTTTATTTCTCCCTATCACTTTTAGAGCCAGCTTCATTTCTCTTTGTGAAGATTTGTGCTTTTATATTTTTTCATATTGGGGAAGCTTCAGTTTGTAGGCTGAATTAATAAACTCTTAAGATCTGAAAGATCTATGTGAAGATAACATTTATAACTCTGTATTTTTCCATAGAATGTAACTGAACCACCAGGTAAGTGAGATAAGGAAATTTGGTAATTTCAGTGCAATAACACCCTAGATGGGTTTGGAGATGATTACACTGTAAACCGCACAGGTCTCTTAATAGAAGAGCCTTTTGGCACAGTGGTTAAACTGCTGTACTGCAGCCAAAACTGTGCTCATGACCTGGGGTTAAAGCCCACGTTTTGTTGTTGTTTAGTTGTTAAGTCGTGTCTAACTCTTCATGACTCCGTGGACCAGAGCACACCAGACCTCCAGTCTTCTACTGCCTCCCAGAGTTGGGTCAAATTCATGTTGGTAGCTTCAGTTACACTGTCCAACCATTTTGTCCTCTGTCATCCCCTTCTCCTCTTGCCTTCACACTTTCCCAATATCAGGGTCTTTTCCAGGGAGTCTTTTCTTCTCATGAGATGGCCAAAGTATTAGAGACTCAGCTTCAGGATGTGTCCTTCCAGTGAACACTCAGGGTTGATTTCCTTCAAAATGGATAGGTTTGTTCTCTTTGCAGTCCATGGGACCCTCAAGAGTCTCCTCCAGCACCACAATTTAAAAGCATCAATTCTTCGGTGGTCAGCCTTCTTTATGGTCCAGCTCTCACTTCCATACATTGCTACTGGAAAAAACATAGCTTTGACTATGCGGACCTTTGTTGGCAAGATGAGGTCTCTGCTTTTTAAGATGCTGTCTAGGTTTGTCATCGCTTTTCTCCCAAGAAGCAGGCATCTTTTAATTTCGTGCTTGCTGTCACCATCTGCAGTGATCATGGAGCCCAAGAAAGTAAAATCTGTCACTGCCTACATATCTTCCCCTTCTGTTTGCTAGGAGGTGATGGGACCGGTGGCCATGATCTTAGTTTTTTGATGTTGATCTTCAGACCATTTTTTGCACTCTCCTCTTTCACCCTCATTAAGAGGTTCTTTAATTCCTCCTCACTTTCTGCCCTCAGAGTGGTATCATATGCATATCTGAGGTTGTTGATATTTCTTCCCGCAATCTTAATTCCGGCTTGGGATTCATCCAGTATAGCCTTTTGAATGATGTCTTCTGCATATAAATAAGCAGGGAGACAATATACAGCCTTGTCATGCTCTTTTCCCAATTTTGAACCAACCAGTTGTTCCATATCCAGTTTTAACTATTGCCTCCTATCCCACATACAGATTTCTTAGGAGATAGATAAGGTGGTCAGGCACTCCCATGTCTTTAAGGACTTGCCATAGTTTGCTGTGGTCGACACAGTGAAAGGAATTCATCCAGTCCAGCCTTTCTCGTGATGTCTTCTGCATATAAGTTAAGTAACCAGGGAGACAATATACAGCCTTGTTGTACTCCTTTCCCAATTTTG